GCCCATGGGGTGGGGCTGGGTCACAGGCTGGACTTGACAATCTCAGAGATCTTTTCCAGCCCCAGTAACTCTGTGATTCTGTGATATTATGTGTGGACAGGGAGAAGAGGGGATCCACAGCTTTTACTTCTTACCACGCATCCTCCATGTCCTGCTTTGGATATCAAGGGAATGAGGATGGGGGAGAAGAGCTTCGGGGACCAATGGGACATTCGGTTGTTTGCCTCAATGAAGGGGTGAGGGGTCGGTGTGGGCTGACCCATCAGTCTGTCCTTACTTAACTTTCTCAAAAGGGCTCCAGGGACCACAGATGGGTCCCCTTGGGGGTCCAGTCCCAGCTCTGCCAACCCTTTGCTGAGCGACCACAGATAAATATCTCATCCCCTTGCTTTTCAAGGTGTGCTGCAAGAGCTGGAGCAGCCAGCTCAAAAGATCCTTGAAGGCATTAAGAAAGGCTTGGACGAGAGTAAGATTCATCTGGTTTTCTGATGTTAATTGTGGGCCCAGCAGTGAGGAGCAGGATCTCAGCGTGAGGAGCCCGTAGGATTCCAGTGCCATGGGATCATCCCCGTTAGCGACTGGTTTGTCTTCTCTTAAAGCAAACTGTTGCTGTGAAGCTGGTGCTGGCACAGCTGTAATGAGTGAATCCCAAATGAAAGGGGATCCTAAACGAACAAGATCCCAAATGAGGAGGAATTCCAGAGATCCCCACTGAACATGATCCCAAATGAACGGGAACTCTTGGTTTGAGAAGCAAGTTGGGAGAAGAGAGATGGAGCCACTTCCACCTACGAGAGGGGAGTTTCTGTACAAATACTCATCCAAGTGCAGTGAACGGTCACTTTTTTTTTCCCCCAGCAGTACTTGCAGAAGAGCCAGGTCTTTCTCTTGTTCCCATTTTCTTGTTACGGTAGCGCTGAGTTCCCCGTGAGGGAAGCGATCGCGATGGCGAGACCTCGGCACCTTTATCAGGGCTGCCATTACGTTCCTTGGAAATTCAGCATGGACGTAGCTTCCTTCTGACTTTGCACGTGGGTCCCATCACAATGAGCCCTATTTTTGTGGGTTTCCACAGTGGGATGCTTGAAGGGTCCATCTCCTGCAGCTGGCCACTTTCCTTCTCGCTCGTGGTGCAGCTCCATGTGCTTCCCAGCTGCAGTTAAACGCGAGGAGAACACGAGCTCCCTTTCCTGACCTGTAGGGGTGGAAAACCTCCTCGGCTTAGGACCATCTCAGCTCCAGAGTGTCCTCAACAAGCACCAAGAGTGGTGTGTGCCATCAAAACCCTACCAGCTGTGGGCTTGCTGGACATCCCACCTTGGGAAAGCATTGCAGGACCAATCCTGCTCTTGCCAGGGGCACGAGGACTGAATCGGTTCAAAACAGGTATTTTAATGAGTGATGAAACCCTCTGGAAAGTTGGCTGCTGGGACCCCTTGGAGAAAAATCCGCTCCCTGGAGAGAGCCGAAGGAGAGCTCTTATCTCTGGAGCTTGGTTTCCTTCTGGTTCAGGGTTTGTCTGACCTTCTGGTCACTGAGTAAGTTTGATTTTTGCCAGGTTTTCTTTCAGGAGGGGGTTGATAAAAAACATGTAAGTGGGTGGTGCCGGTAGGAGGATACTTCTGGGTGGGGTGAGGAGGATCTCGTAGTTCTGATATCGTTTCCAGCCCGTTGATGACTTCACTGTTGTTCTCTTGCCCAGAGTTTGGGATGGGTCTAGATCGAAGCAGATTTAAATAAATAGAGTGAGAACAAACAACGTGAGATGTATTTAAGAGGAGGAGGCTGAGACCACGTGTTGGGAATCAAACCCTTTCTTGGCAGCGTGTCGAGTTGACTTGGCGGCGAGAGCTCGCAGCCTTTTCCCAGAAGATGCTGAAGATGCAACTGGACGCGTGACAAAAGCCTGAAGGA